ACCATATTAATTATTTATTTGAATAAAGAGTAGAAAAAAGACTGCTTCTTTTTTATTAAAGTGAACAATTATTTATATATTAATATTATTTATATATTATAATTGCTATAATCGGTATTAAAAACAGTTTTAAAAAATAACATTTGAAGCAATGGGATAGTGCCGTAATTAAACAAGACCAACGTAACTACACTTGAACAATATTGAAACACAAATGGACATGTAATCTTATTTGTATTGGTTATAAATATAATTGGTGTGTTTATAATATGAAGTGTTATTTTATTGTTTTTGTTTTAAATAGATACAAAACATGGTATTTCTCACTAGACTTATTCGATCCACCCCAATTGATTATAAACGACATGAAAGCAATAAAAAACTACAATAAATCAGTTATTCATTCATTTCTGCTCCAGTGGAACTTCCACCTTTTGTTGTTCTTCCCCATTGATCATTTCTTTTACTTCGTCCGTTGTTGCATGGAGAGGACTTGTTGTGACTTCGCTCTGCTTTTCCACACCATTTTCTTCGACTTTTGTATCAAAAGACTTTTCTTTCTTTTCCTCAACAGAGGGGTGTATCTCTTCTGGTACTTCTGTAACTTTGGTCTCAGTTGTATTCACGGTTACCTCACTTATATTTTTGACTTGAGGCACTGTTGTGTTTTGTTGAATTTGTTGTGGTATGTTATTTTCTTTTTTCTCTTCCCCATTGTTTTGAATCTCATTGGGGACGTCAGTCTCGTCTGGACGCTCCTCTTCCATTTTAGTTAATGGCACTTTCTCTTCTTGTTTTTCATCAATGATTTCATTTGGGGTTTCATCCATTTTGACTTCAATTTCCATTTCCTTTTCTTCAACTTTCTGTTGCTCTTCCTTTTCACCATTCTCTTCTGAATTTTCCGTCAACTGAATTTCCAGCTTTTCATCAATGTCGTCGGCTGATGGTACAACATTATGAGGCGGTTCTTCCTCCATTGGAGGTGGCAAAACTTGTTCTTCGGCTTTCTCTTCTTTGGGTTCTTCAATTTCCATTTGAGTGTTCTGTTGTGCCTTCTCTTCACCACTCTCCTCGTCTTCCGTCTTCTCGTCCATCTTTTTCTTTCCATCTCCACTCTTCACAACAGCGCCCTTCGACTTCTTGTCAAACAGAGATATCAGTGCTTTCGCATGTTTCGTGAGATTTGAATCGTCGGGCATTTTAAACATGAAGCGACCCTTTTTTATCTCTCCCGCGTCTTCTTCGACAATACTATTGAACACAAGCTGTTCATCCTCTTCCATCAACACTCCACCACCAAATCCGTATTTCAATATCCCTATCAGCAAGTCGTGGTCGCATTGGTCATTCCACCAATTGGTTAAGTGGGTGTTTGCGTTCAGTTCTGGTATTAAGTGTTCTGGTCCAGCAAGTTTCACCAGTCTGTTCATATACTTCAGTTTCGACTCGTACACCTTCAATATCTCTTTTGTTAAGAATGAGAATTCGTCTCTGAGTGCGTACTCATGGCCTTGTTTCAAAACGTCATCTCTTCCGCCTTTTCTGATTCTCTTCACAGCGTGATATTGCTCAAGAAGTTGAACAAAATAGCGTTTGTTAATTTCAAACTTCAGACCATATGCGGTGCACTGTTTCAAAAAGATTATAATAAAACTCCGCAACTCGTCTTGGTCAAATTCCATCCCAATCTTTGCTCTCTCTCGCACAACAGTAAAGTCAACCCTTCCTACATCGATTACTGCGGAATAAAGTTGCATTTTCATTTCATCGGGCATCTCCGCCTTTTTCACTCGCTGCTTTTTCTTGTTATACTCCTCCTCGTCCTCTACTGGCAAAATTACTGTTTTCCTTTTCTTTCTTGAGAACTTCAGCGTTTCTGATGTCGTAAGTAATTCCTGAACAATATCTTCGACAATCAAATCTTTCTTGGTAAGTAACAAATCAATACATTTCACCAGGGTGTCTCTTTCCGACAAAATATGTCCTTTCGCCTCATTGTACGCATCCACCACATTCACTACATGTTGTCGCATTTCAGTCAAAAACTCTTCCAAATTTGCTTCAAACCAGGGAATAATCTTTTCGTCGTTCTTTGAGCTCATTGCGGCGTCCAAATCCTTGAAAAGTTGTGATGGCGTTCGCAATTTTGGAAGAACTTTCTCCCAGAAGTGTTCATCGTTCAAATCAACGACATCACCAGTCTCGGAAACAAATGTCGCCTTTGAAAAACTGCTCGACTGTGCCGCACTCTCTCCATTCCAAACAACCTTCTTGGAGCGTTTTTCCATAATTTGGTCGATGTCTTCTTCCCCAAAGTTGTTTGAGTTTTTCTCATCTTCATCTTTCAAAAGACCATATGCTCCGTACTTCAGTAAGTCTGCTATATCATCCTTTGACATCTTTTCCGTCTCTTTTGACTCATGGTTGATGTTCGATAAGATCGCCTGATCTAGTCCAAGTTTCATTGAAGCTCTCTCAAACATGTACCTCTCGTACGTGTTCTTCGACACAAGTCGATACACCTTCACCTCCTTCTTCTGCCCAATACGATGACATCTCGCTTGTGCTTGTAAATCGTTTTGTGGGTTCCAATCACTGTCGTAAATGATAACAGTATCCGCTTCACTCAAATTGATACCAATACCTCCGGCTCGTGTACATAACAAAAACACGAATCTATCTCCCTTCATGAATCGATCAATCGCATTTTGTCTGTCGTTACTTTTCACACTCCCGTCGAGTCGTTCGTAGGTGTATTTCTTGAACCCAAGATATTTCTCTATCACATCAAGAACACCCTTTAATTGACTGAATATCAACACACGATGGTCGTCTTGTTTCAGTTTTGGAAGTAACTTGTCAAGTAAGACCATCTTCCCCGAGCACTTCACCAACTCACTTTCATAAAAATCAGGATCGTCATAATTTCCCCCAACCTCCTTTTCCTCCACGCCAGGAATTAAAAATGGGTGGTTGCACACCTTTCTGAGTTGCATCATTAAATTCAACAAATGTGGGACATTCTGCCCAACACACCCCTTATTCAAAAATTCTCTATTCTTTTCGTATAATGCTCTGTAGTACTTCTTTTGCACAAGCGTCAGCTCAACTTCAATCAAAATCTCTTCTTTTGGTGGTATCGACTTCTCCACGTTCTGTTTAACTCTTCTCAGTAAATAGGGCTGAATCTCAACTTGGAGTGATTTGACCTCATCTGCTGTCTTTCCCTCTCCAAATTTCTGGTGAAACGCCTCAATAGAAGGGAAGCCGATTGGGTTTACATAATTCAGCAAAGTCCACAATTCATCCGTGTTATTTTGGATTGGAGTTCCAGTCAAGAGTATTTTATGATAAGCAGGAATTTCGCTCAGTGTTCTGTTCAGCTTGGATTGTTTATTTTTCAGTCGCTGCGCTTCATCCACAACAATGACTTGCCAATGAATTTGTTGCAATGCTTCGTAGTCATTCATCACCATTTCATATGTAGTTACCAACGCATGAAATTTGATTTGTTTTGACAACTCCTTCTCGTCTTTGTCAAGGTAAAACCACTCATAGTGTTGTATCATCTGTCGGTTTTCTTTGCTCCCCAAATAGACGACAACATTCATCTCCGTCCACTCACAAATCTCTCGTCTCCAGTGCTCCAACGTTGAGAGTGGTGTTACTATCAAAAATGGTCCTGGGAGTTTCTGGAATGTCCTGAGGTGCTCCATAAATGCGACAACCTGCACTGTCTTCCCCAAACCCATTTCATCCGCCAATATACATCCTTTCCCTCGGCACCAATTAAAAACAAGCCAATTCAGTCCCTCTATTTGATATTCTCTCAGTGTATTATTGTGCCTGTACACATCAGATTTCATTCTTCTTTCCCATATTCTATCCGGAAGTGGCGCTTCAATGGTTGAAGGGTCAGGCATTATATGAAATTTCTTGTATTCGTTAAGTCTGACATCATCCCCTACATCACTCTCCTTTTCCCATGTGGCTTCCGTGTAACTCAGTCCACCTCCCCACTTGACTAAGCAATACTTAACACCATCTATTTCCTTTTCAAATAAAATTCTCTCGACGGTGGTATACTCCATTGGAAACGGATCCTCCTCTCCGTCAAACTGGAACTTTGTTTTAAATCGTTTGATCCTCAGTTGTGGTATCATCTGTGACAAAATACTCTCTTTGATCCACTCAACGTCTCTATAACTCTTGTTGTTGTATTTCACTAAGTACTCCTCTTCCGTACCAGCCTCGACACCACCCCTTACATTCAACAGTTTCTCCACACTTTTCTCCGTCGTGAATGGTGAAAATTCTCTTTTGACGACTGGACATCTCTTCTTCTCAACATCTTGATCTTCCATCTTCTCATCTTCGTTCTCTTCAACGAGTTTCACCGATGACTTTCTCTCTCTAAACGCGTATTTTCTAGCGGGTATGATGTCTTCCTCCTTTTTCTTTTTCTCTTTCTTTTGTATAGGCAATGGTTGAATGGGTGGCTCAACAACGACTGGTGTATATATTCTGACCTCCTTCTTTGGTTTTGGTATCTTTTCTTTCTTCACTTTTGGCTCCTTCACTTTCTTTGGTTCTTTAACCTTCGTGACTTTATCCTTCTTCTCAACGTGCAATGGCTGTGTTCTTATGACTGGTCTCACGTTTTGTCGAATCACAGGACGTGACATATACATTGGAGGAGGTGGTTGTTGTTGGTACTGATACGGCACAAATTGTCCTTCAACACCCACAGGATTAAAAACTGGTCTGAATATCCCACTTGGTGGGGGCGGATTTATTCCTCCATTCATTTGAACGGGTGCAAATCTCAGTTGTTGACCGCCACTCCCTGGGATGACCTGTCCCCCAGCTACACGTGAGAACCTTCCCATTGGGGCATATTGTCTGTATGGATACGGAACTTGCATCTGCGGTTGACCCATCGGCATTTGAGTAGGATTCACCATGGCATGGATTTGTGATGGCATGCTGTTTGGGATTTCAGTGTCCAGCCTCAACTTAAGTGGATGTTGTTGCATCATCTGAGAGTTTTGTTGTTGTGGTACCGTGTTAGTGACCATTGGATGGCCACGTTGTGGAGTATTTAGTTGTTGGATTTGGGAAATTAATTCCCCATTTGACATTTTAGTGTCTTCTTGAACTGCCTTAAAAGGACTTTCCTGTTTTATAGGGGCTTCGAGCTTAATTTGAGATTGTTTGTCACTTTTAAGTATCTTGTCTTGTGGTGAGGGAATTGGTTGCTCTCGTTTTGGTTGGTTTTTTAATTGAATTTGCTGTTGTGTTATCGGTTGAGCTTGTTGCGACACCAAATCATTCTGTTGTTGTGTTTGTTGTGTAAGTCCCATTTGTTTCTCTTGAGGTGGAAATTCTTGGTTTAATGCAAGTCGTTGCTGTTGTGCCACAACAATGGGTTGTTGGGTTATCTGTGGAGGTGTTGTGTGGGGCTTTTGTTGAAGAGGGACAGCAGGCTCTGGTAGAGTTGCCATTGTTTGTTTATCGATTTGTTGAAGAGATGTAGCCGTTTGTGGTGTCTGTTGTTTAGCTTGCTGAGGGCTTTCCTGGCCTTTTGAAGTACTCCCAACAACGTTTTGTTGAGGAGAGGGGTGTGGCTGGTTCTCCATATTACTGTTTGATTTTTTGATCTCAATTTTCCATACAAAACCCTTTTTTTTCCACCGACGATCTGTCTACGTCTTCGTTGTACTCCAAGTGTTTTCTTACATCGTTTCACATCACTTTTCATTGTCTTTTCATTCTTAATTTTTTTTGCAACTTCCCAACCACACATTCTCTTTATTTTACTCACTCTTCTTCCTTTTTTCATCTATTTTCCGTTTTTTATCGAAAACCCTGATCATCACCATATTGCTCTGTACTTCATTTTATCGGAAATGAAACTTTTTCAAATTAAATAATATTTATAAAATAGTCTATTTTTTTAATTGTTTGACATTTTGATACTTCCGATATTTAACTCTGAGTATATTGTGTTTTATCTCTTTTTATCCACAAATAGAATTAAAAAAAGTGAGTCTATTATTTTAAACTAAATAATAAAAGAAATTAATTAATATGATACAATTTGTAATGGTATGACATATAATAAGAATATAATAAAAAGTTTTAATAAAAACTTTTTTTAGAAAGAGTAGCACTTAGAATTCTTGACAATGCCACACATCTTCCAAGGCTCTATTGAAAACGCCACAACATTTGTTGAACTATTCCGCGTTTTTAAAAAATTAGAAGCGGAGACCCTCTCCATATTGTTTTCAACTGATGGCGTTTACTTTAAAGTTGGTTCCCAAGAAGCAATCCTTTCTGTAGCTGTCGAAAAAGAGTACTTCTCACACTTCGTCTCAAGCAGAAATGTAGTAGCCGTAATAAAAAAAGCATTTTTGTGCGACTTTTTATGCTCAGTGTCTGGGGTTGGCAGTTCCCTCAATATCACTTTGACTGGGGAGACTATCAAGCTTACAACCATAAGACCCAACAACATCAAAGTGTCGTCAAAACTCAATATCACTTACGCAACAAATGATTTAACACTTTTGGAACCCAAAACTCGAGCAGATGCAACAATAGCATTTGCAACAAAGGATTTAATATCAATCATAAAAACAGTTTCTCGACTCAATCAACAAACCACTACATTTAAATCGAAGTCTGACGGTAGCCTTGAGGTTATTGGATCGCCCACTGATGTTTTCAAAAAGTCTGTCCAATATTTCCCAGGAATTTCGTCGAGAAAAGCTGTCGAAACCAAAGTCATGACTGACACTCTCCTCAAGGTAGTTGGTCCTTATCTTGATGAGGCACGACTCTACCTCACAAAGGGAGAGAGTCTACGTATTCAATATCGGGACGCACTGATATCTATTATAATAGAAGTAGCAGAAGCGACTGATTAAGTCTTTTATTGTTTAGTGTTTTGTTTACTTTCCATAGTTGAGTAATAATTCAATGTTATATATATTTTGCTCCATCTATTCAGATATTCTAATATGTGTTTTTACGATTCAGACAAAGAAAAAGCAATAATAGCAAGAACCATCTTATAGAATAACTTTTTATTGAATACGAATAATAATATAATAAAATAAATAATACAAAGTTATATATAATTGATTCAATTAAATGCAAAGAGAATCAAACTTGAAAAGGAAGACTTCAATAGCAATGAGCAAATTGGACAGATATTCCATGATGATCGTCTCAAAATACTTTGAAAGTGAAGAAGACTATTTAACAATGATGACTGTTTGTAAGAAGTACGTTGATTTGACACAGCAATTCCACTTCAACCCAATATCGATCTCCAATTTCAATTTATTCCCAAACATCGAAACACTCCACTTGTATGAAGAAGACGACGAAGAACTTCCCAGTATTGAGATGTTTGTTGTGTCGTATCCGGTGTCGTACAACGATTATGTGAAAAGGTTGAACGATGGGAAGAAGTACACCAATGTCGTCTATAACCGAAAAGACAGAACCGACAAAAAACTTGCGCTTTCAATGCCTGCAAAGACCATTGGGAGTTTCTGTTATCAACAAATGCTCTTCGATTCGTTTGAAGTGCCGACTTACATCACAAGTCTTGAAGGGTATTGCTTCTCGTCGTGTCGCTACTTGACAACCCTCTCATTACCAACATCCCTTGTTACTATCGCACATCGGTGTTTTAATGAATGTATTCTTTTAAACAAAGTGGATATCCCGGAGTCTGTGCAATTTCTTGGGGAATGTGCTTTCTCGTCGTGTTATGCCCTTACCTCAATCCAAATTCCAGATTCAATATTTTCTATGGATGAAGGGTGCTTCCTCAATTGTTCCAATTTACAAATAGCGCTTGTGGGCAAAGGGATGAAGAAGATCCCAAATCACACATTCGAGAATTGTCGCAACTTGGAACACATCTATATCCCATCCTCTGTTTCCTCTTTTGGAAACAATGCTTTCAAAGACTGTTCAAAATTGGTCGAAATTGAGTTCCCTAATTGTCTCGAGGAGATCAAAGCAGGGTGTTTCGAGAACTGTGCGTTCCTTAGAAATGTGAAAATACCAAGTTCGGTCAGTTTAGTCGACGTTGGTGCTTTTTATAAGTGCGAGTCTCTCAACTCCGCAGTGTTCAGAGAAAACACTAAAATTGCGTTCATCAAAGCAGTCACATTCTTTGCGTGTGTACGCCTCTCAGAACTTGTCCTCCCCCTTTCTCTCTTTTCAATCCAAGACAACGCGTTTCAATACTGCTCCTCCCTTTCTCGTGTCGCACTCCCTTCAGTCTTTCAAAGTGTTGGCGATGCCGCATTTGCTGGGTGCAAGCTTCTCAAAACCATTGAATTCCCACCGGGAACAAGTTTTGGTGAAGGCTCTTTGTTTGGTACAACAGTCACACTCGACCTTCCAAACGCCTTTAAAAAGACGATATAATTATTTTTGTTATTTATTATAGGTTTCTCTTTCTATCACACAACTCTGTGTTCAACAACCGTTTTATTATTCTAATACATTTATTAATTCCAAATTCTATTTGTCTCATAAACTGTTTAGTCATAATTAACAAAATATTTCCACGTTGGTTTAACAATAAATAGTTATAATACTATATGGAGATAGCATTTGTTTTTTCAAAAACCCTGTTCTTTTTTCGATCGCATTCAATACCATTTTTTAAAAATAAAGTTATTATTAAACGAAAACAACACAATAATCCAACTAAAAATTACATTTTTTGTGAAAAAAGTTAAAAAAAATGATAAACTTGGTTCTTTCAAATTCATTGATCTTCTAGTTTTTGAGGAAATAAAAAAGAAATAAGAAAATAGCCAATAGTATTCTCTGAAGATATAATGGGTGTACCAAGGAATAATAAAAAGAATAACACATTAATAGTTTCATATAGAAGATTACACAACGCCACATAGTGCTGATCAGTTGCTACATAAAAAGGGGCGGTAAGATGTTCTTTCTATTCAGAAATAATGTCAGCACTCCACACACTAAGACTGAAATATCAGCCAGTTCTTCCCAAGCACATTGTCGATATTGACAACGTGATTGTTGAAGATGGACCAAAGACTCAGTCGAAAGTCGATCAGAAGGAGCTTTCCGAGCTCTTCAAACACACTTATGGTCTCCCAGCTGCCAAGCTTGCTGCAGGAAAGTCCGAGGAGATTCACAGAAAAATGAGATGTGGGTTTATTCTTTCTGGTGGACCTGCTGCTGGTGGACACAATGTCGTTGCTGGTCTTTATGATGGTCTTATGAAAGGGAACAAGGAGAACAAGCTCTTTGGCTTCAAGTGTGGTGCTGGTGGAATCTTGAAGAATGAGTACATTGAGATCACTTCAGAGTTGATTGACAAATACCGTAATATGGGTGGCTTTGATATCGTTGGCTCTGGCAGAACAAAGATTGAAACCGACGAACAGTTTGCTACCGCATTCAAGAACATTTCTGCTCTTGAACTCGATGCCTTGATCGTAGTTGGTGGTGATGATTCCAACACTAACTGTGCTTTACTCGCCGAGTACTTTGCTGCCAAGAACAGCAAATGTGTCTTTGTTGGTGTTCCAAAGACTATTGATGGTGATTTGAAGAACGAGTACATTGAAGTCTCCTTTGGGTTTGATACCGCCTGCAAGACTTATTCCGAGTCAATTGGAAACATTGAAAGAGATGCCATTTCATCAAGAAAGTATTGGCATTTCATCAAGTTGATGGGAAGAAGTGCTTCACATATTGCTCTTGAAGCTTCCCTCCAAGCACAACCAACATATGCTATCGTCTCAGAAGAAGTTGAAGCCAAGAAGATGACTGTCAATCAAATTGCAAACAAATTGACCGACTTAGTTGTCAAGAGAAGCCAAGATGGATTAAACTTTGGTGTTGTTTTGATTCCAGAAGGTCTTCTTGAGTTTATTCCAGAAGTTAAAGTTCTCATTGAGCAGTTGAATGATCTCCTTGCTCATAAAAAGGAAGAGTATGCCAAGTTGACTGAATTTGCTCAACAAAAAGCTTTTGTCATTGAACACATCCCAAAGGAGATGGGTGAAGTGTTCTCAGGACTCCCAGACAACATTGCCAAACAATTGTTGTTAGACAGAGATCCACATGGCAATGTGAATGTCTCTGCCATTGAGACTGAAACCTTTGTCTCTGGTATTATTAAGAACGAATTAAAGAGAAGAGGTTCTAAAGTGCCATTCACCCCAGTTCATCACTTCTTCGGTTATGAAGGAAGATGTGCTTTCCCAACCAACTTTGATGCCACCTACTGTTATGCTCTTGGCTACACTTCCTTCATCCTTGCTGCTTATAAGAAGACGGGACAAATCTGTTGCATCTCTGGATTGAAGGGCCCATCCACTGAATGGATCTGTGGTGGTGTGCCATTGACAGTCATGATGAACATGGAACAAAGAAACGGCTCACTCAAGCCTGTCATCCAAAAAGCTCTTGTCGAGCTGAATGGAAAGCCATTCAAATATTACGAGTCGAAAAGAGAAGCTTGGGCCCTTGCTGAGGATTATGCCTTCCCAGGTGCTGTTCAGTACTATGGTCCTGCTGAAGTTTCCGATCAGCCACCAAAGACATTGCTCCTCGAACAGAATTAAATCAGTTTTTTTAACTATTAGTAATCTAGTAATTTATTACTAAGGTAAAACACGTAGTAATAACTATATTTAACTATAAAACATATTTTATTGTAATTAGAGTAACTTTTTCTTTTTAGAGGTTTGTATACAAGAAACCCAAACACACTAAAATGGTTGCAATTGTTGTGAGCTTTGTCGGTTCGTTTGTAGTTGTGAAGATGGTGGCGATTGTTGTTGTTGTTGTGGGGATTGCGGGAGGTCTTCGAAGTCGAGGGAGAGTTGGACTGGGTCAACTTTAATAGGGAACATTTGACTTTCAAGTTTCTTGAGAAAAAAAAAGTGGAACGACTCAATTGACTTTAATTTAACTTAGAAATGATGTTGAAAAGGACTTTCGCAATGTTCTCGACAGCTTGGATGACAAACACCCTATACTCAATATGGTTCTCCGCGTTTGCAGAAGGGACATCAGAAAGCGATCGGATGACCAAAAACTTGATCCCGAGTTTAGTGCATGCGTGTGCCACACCACACCCTTCCATCTCTGTGCATGCCACCTTCCGCTCAAATTTGCTCTGCATCTCTTCGATTTTTGGTTTGGTGCAGAATGCATCCGAAGTCCCAATTATACCATAGCAGACGTTTGATACGTCCTTTGTCGCATCTCTTGCAACAGCCATAAGTTTATCGTCGGTTTTCCAGTACATCGGTTCGTCGCAGATTTGTCCATATTTGTATCCAAGAGGGGTAATATCCACGTCAGTATAGACCAACTCGGTCCCAATGACTATGTCAAGGACTTTTTGTTCCGGAAGGGCTCCACCAGCACACCCCGAGTTAATAACAATGTCCACCTGGAATTCGTACTTTAATATCGACACAGCAACGGCTGCGTTCACCTTCCCGACTCCGCACTGAAAAACAATCACTTCATTGGTTTGTAAACGTGTCTCATAATAAACGAATCCGTTTTTCTCTTTCTTTTCGCAGTTTGGAAAGACTCGACAGACCGCCTCAAGTTCTTCTGCCATTGGGGTGAGTACACCTACTCTCATCGGTTCTTAATCCAGATGAAGTCAATTGTAGGGTTTTATACCCCCAGATGAATTAGTGGATAACTATACTAATACTATACAATAGTTTGACAAAACTATTCCCTTTCTTTCTAAGCCATCTTGTGTTGAAGTGTGTGTCTACACCATAAATAGACGCACTCCCCATACCCATTGAAAAAGTCAAAAAAAGAATCCATAACATACACACCAAAATCAAATAAGCGTTCTTTTGATACTCTTCGGTATCTTGTCCTTTCCAGTTTGCAACATTTGTTTGAAGTTGAATCTGATCTTGTTGTCTCCAATTTGCAAAATAACTTTGGTCCACTTGGGGTGGTCAACGAGTTGTTTATATTCATTCTCGATCCTTGCGGAGTCTTCAGACCCAAAATCGACCCAATTTTGATCAAAATATTGCCAACTTGCTGTTTTAGTATTACTTTCTGTTACCTTTGGTTCTTCAGATCGTTTTGAAGATTTGTATGACTTGAAAGAAACACTCAGTTTTGCAGGCTTCTTAAATTTCTTTGGTTCTAACGTGCTTCGTTTGAGCTGTTTTGCTTCTTCACCTTTCGTTCCTTTTTCTTCTGCTATTTCTTGATTAGATTCTTCTGACATTTCTTTAGATTCAGTACTTTCAGTTGTGTTCTCATTGTCTGTCTTCTTCAAATTGCTTTTCTTCTTTTTCTTATAAATAACCTCACCCTTTGGCGCTTTCACAATTTTTGTGTCTTTTTGTTTCAACTTCTTTGACACTTTATTTAAAGCTTGTTTCACACCATCTTTTGTGATCTGTTCTTTTTGAGCAAAAGATGACTCACTGAACCTTGGCATTGGTGCACCTTTACATGCTCGAGGAAGTCGTTTTCTGATCCCAAGTGTTTTGAGACGGTTGTTTTCCTCCCGTTCCATCCGTTTTTTCTCTTTAGTGATGTCGAGTATGAGGGTCGAGTCTTGTTCCTCTATATCTGTTGCGGTGTCTGCATTAAGGTCGAGTTGTAAAACAGTGGTTTCATCAGGACAATCGACTATAGTCGACTCATTCACCAGAGTCATTCTTTTTATCTTTTCGAGTTATTATGTTTTTTATAACATTTTTCCGCCCAAGAACTCCATCAATACCATAAATGATATTTTGGTGTTGTTTTGAATTTTTTGGTTTTGAAATTTTTTTCAATTTTTGACTCTTTTTATATCCAATAAGATTTCCTTTTAAAAATTCTTTGAAACTGTAAATTGATTATGTTTTCTCGTGAAAAGAAAGAAGACAACTCAAAGCGCTTCAATGAGAAAAAAATGCAGTTTGTATTGTATTTCGTCTTATTCAACTAATTGTGACTTACAGTGTTCTCGGACAAATTCTCACAACACCACAAAAAGACATCCAAGTCCATCTCAACGCAATGCGGGACACCGTGGAAATGTTGGTTTGGGGCGACAAACACAATCAAGGTATTACCGACGCTTTCCTCGACGATAATCTTTTTCCCGTCATCGTCGACATAGTAAAAAAAGGAAAGAAACCAGCTACTCTCCAGTTTCTCCAATGCTTCGCCATTCTCGTCGAGAACATTAAGCAGACAAATTTTCTCTGTTTGTATCTTCTGTTACATTACCACTATTTCCTTTGATAACGTCTGTAGTCTGCGTTTTATAAGTCTATCATTCTTCTCTATTCTTACACATAGATTTCTTACTCAGTCAAACAAACATCGACACTATACTTAACCTTCCCATCGACAGAAACGACGACGATATCATATCTCCTTATGTTTCGATGCTCAAAAGTATTTCTTTGCGATTGACTGATGACACACTTCAATTCTTTTATAATCATCAGACGAACACATGTCCGATTTTAAGTGAGGCTGTTCTTTTGTTGAGTCACAAAGACTCAATGGTTGTCTCTCACGCACGAAACATCATCCTCCAATTCACTGCGTTCACTACCGACAAAGCTTTTAACGCGTATTATCTCGAATATTCAAGATCACACTTCTACCCACACTTATTCACTTTAATACTCAGACATGTCCACTCCCTTCCCACTACTCTCCAAATCATGATCGATGACATTTACTTTTTGACCGACTTACTGACACTGCCACCACCATACCCAGACACTTTGACATATTCCCTTTTCGACAAAATGATATACCCACACATCCTCCCAGCTTTCATCTCCGCTACAGCAACAACTCCAAAGAAAGTCGACTGCCTCCAATTCTTAATTCACCTCTATTTATCAAAGTTCCCAACTCAATTCCTCGCCCTTATTTCCCATTGCTTGATAGTGCCAATTCTCCCCCTTGGCGAAAACAACAGACTTTGCGACAATATCGTTTACTTACTCAAAGAACACAACACAATCGACTTCCACTGTGCGGTAACACTTCTTTTACTCATCACACAGACACCACCACTTTCCCTTCTTTCAAGATCGTTCCTCTCCAATCCACTCCAACTCTCGGCTCCCGTCGCACTGATGTCTATTATGGAGGATGAAGACAGCGAAGACCCTCTCTTTGGTGATGAGAGTCCCAAAATCAATGTTTCCATTGATGTGACGTCGTGCTTCCCTTGGTTCTCATCAAAAACCGAGACAAAGTGTTTTGAGTCATCCTCTCGCATTCAGGGCGAAAAACAGAAATTTAGTTCAGAAGGAGGGGCTTACGATTTTCTTGGGAAGAAGAACAGAGAAAATAGAAAGGCGGTGCTGACAACCCTTCTTACTTTCTGTATCGAGGACTATAAACAAGCGACACCTCTTCATACATATAGCAGAGTCTTCAAACTGATCAAGCATATTGGGGTGTATGGGAATGGCACCTTAGATGACACTCTTGAGGAGAACAAAGCAAAGGTCGTAGCCGAGTACAACAAAGGTTTAGAGATCATTCAGAAGTTGTATCCGCGTCTCAAACAAGATCAATTCATGTTACTGTGGAACAATGTGACAACTGCAATCGAGGACATTTCAGTTGAGTACGAGTTTGGTGATGATATCGACAAATGGAAAACACAGCTCAACACATTTATAGACAAGAACTTCACAAAAAAGCAGAAGGCGCTTGAGATCTATACCATCATTGCGTCGTCCGTGGTGAAGCGAAAATTGTATCTCCTAGTTTGTGAGAACTCGACAAAGAAAGTGTCCGACATATTTTGGGAGCAAAAGCCAGTCACTCCAATCCACCCGCTTTCAAATTGAATTATCTTTTTATGTTGCTTTTACACACCAATGTGGCGATATCTGTGCGTCCCTTGTTGCAACAAAACAACAATTAATACCTGAATTTTACTTTTTAGTGTCGAAGGTGAATTGCATGACAATCATCTTCTTCAACTCAACCGCCTTCGGCTGATTCCCTCCAACAAAAAGGTCTTGCACCTTCGACAGAAACTCCGCCTTCTGCCTTTCATCGTCGCTGAGGACTTCTGGCGCTACGTCGATTTTGTAATAACTTCCCATTCGCTTGTTGAACATCACCTCATTGCCCGAAATGATGAACCCACAATACGTCTCCAGCAACCAATCCGTGTTCACCACAGACGACACATACAAACTCCGGACTTTCTTTTTGTCTTCCGAGTCTTTGGTGGAGGTCTGCCCAATGGTGCTGATAACATCGACAGAAGATGTGATACCTTGTGTAATCCCCTGAGTGATTCCCGTCACCATTGAAGTGCCTAAATTAGTTACACCGTCGACAATACCAACACCACGAGGGGTGGGTGTGTAAGCAAAAGCCTTATTTTTCTTTTCTTTTTGGTCGGAAAGTGTCAATGAAAAAGCTCCATAAAAGCTTTTGTTCACAAGAGAGAAGACAAAGTAGTGTGGGTCGTTGTTGATTGAGTTCGACCCATACTTGTTCGCCTCAGGTATTTCAAGTTCATCAAAACAACCAAAGACATCGCCCTTAACTGTCTCAAAGCAGAACATAATGTTGCCCTGCCCTGTTACTGTGTCGTACAACTTTTTTCGGTCAAACCCGTACAACGTCGACGAGTACACCACCTTGAAGTTCGGACGCTTCTTCGTGTATGAAAAAAATCGGTTGAGATCTTTCGCGTACTTCTTGATATTCTCCTTGTCCTTCTCAAATTGTTTGTCTTGTTTTGCATCTTCTCGTGGTGTTGCTGGCTCGCTCATCTTGCCTTCGAGATATCAAGTTCCTTACTAACTGGCTGGAAAGTAATACTATACTATATGATACTAGAATAATTGTTTTTTTATATTTTTACCATCTATACTAGAACTATAGTATATACTTTCTTTATAGTATAATAAACAAAGACATCTGCGTTGAAAGTCAAATATAAGAAATTAAGACAATGGGTCGATGCATCTTTTCTTCTCTTGCTCGACGTTCTGTGTGTTGTTCTCCTTAGGTGATGGTGGACTCACTTTTTCTTCTTCGTGGGTCTCCTTCTCCTTTTGATCGACTTTTTCTTCGGTCTTTATTTCCGCTTGAATCTCCTCCTGACCTGCCACACCATCTCCTCTTGTATTGGTCATATTCTCTGTTTGTTGAATACTCTCTTCAATTTTTTCCTCTTGTTTTTCAGGACCTGGGGTTTTTATGCAGTCCACCTTTTCGTTCTTAGGAACTGTTATGTGGTGCTCTCCTTTTTGTGTGCTTTTATGGTCACTTCTCAGCACTGTTTTCTCGCCAATGGAACGTCTTTCTTTCCCATATTCGATGTCGAGTGGTGTTTGTGGACTTGTCATCTTTGCTTCCTTATTCATTTCCTCAGGCCTGATATCTGGTGTTCTGCAAGGTGACAATGAAGGGACTGAAGGTGCTCTTGAGCCCCCAAAACTCGTTGGTGATGGGTGTTGTACGATTTTTGAAGTGAGTTCGCTCATCTTATTTCTATACCACCAGACGTTAAAGTGTTGACTTTCGATCATGTCGATGATGAATCTCTTATGTGTTTCATGTTTAATGAGTTGTGGGAATTTTCGTTTAAAATCGGTCAAGTCGATTGGGCCGTGCGACATGCAGAAATTTTTCATGATCGTTAAAATTTTATCATAAAATTGATGTTTGACTGCTTGGATGACTTCCGTCGAAAATCTCACCAATTTCTCTTGTGGAATTTTTTCAAGTGCTCGTTCTCTCTCTTCAAACGATTTCAATTTTGTGACTTCTGAAAACGTCGCAACAACACATGAATTCACTGCTGCAGTCAACTCCCCCAGAAATGGAAGACTGTGTTGTACCGAAGGAATTGTTTTAATAATTTTCTTGGCCAAATTTGGGTCAAACAAGTTACCATGTTCAAGTTGATAAACATTTGCATTGACACGAGTGACATCTGTTGGTATTTCTGTGCCGTAGAGACTTGGCACGGGCGATTCAAGAAATTCTTGTAATGCGACAGGGACAAAGGGGATTAACACCCCTTGCCATATGAAAGGGTACATCAATGTGAGTAACCCAAAGACAGAAGAAGTGATAAGTGACGCGTTACTCCCCACCAGTATCACTGAACTTCCTGTGAGCAAGGAAGCAAGTGCATTGAATATCACACTCGGTTGAAGTCCTACAAACATTCGACACAACGCGTAGTCCCCTATCATATTAAGACAACAGGCGGGCATTTGGTCTGATGTTGGGTATGTGGAATAGATAGAAGTTCGTGTAAAGTATCTTATTGGAGCGGGCGTGACTTCGATCGGGTACTCTATTTGTGTGAGTGAAGGTGCCTGGACTTTTAAAACGCGAGAAAGGTACGCCTCCATTCGTGCTTTATCTGACACGTATTTTTCTGTTGGGTTCCCCCCGTTTCTCAGGTAAAAAGTCCTGATATAGTTCAGCTTCGAGTGGAAATCGTATCGCTCCATATCCTCCAACATTGCAAAGAGTGCGTTGATGAAAGGAAATTCCGAGACAAAACAATAGATACGGTCGGTGACCAGTTGGTTGTTCCCATATGTGTATATCTGTTGCAACTTCGTTTCTTGTACAAAGTCACTTGGGAATGGGAGTAACTCTTTTCTCACAATGCATGCGCCTTAACGTAAATATTTGTATCACAAGTTCAAAAGCACAAGAACTGTATAACAAAACAAAGCAATGAACACAAACAGAAAGAGGTTGTAGTCTCTCCAGGTAAGATAAGAAGATACTTCTTCGGGGGAGTCATTAAAATGTCTAACTTGTTGGTGTTTGTAACAGTGACGGGTTGTGGGGCAATAAACTTTGCAAAGTGTTGTTGAAGTTCTGCGTTTTTCGAGCAATAAAGCATCTGAGCGTCGTAGCTGTAACTTTTTTTCCAAAAAGTAAATTCGTCGACCTTGAAATTGGGGGGAAGGCCCCAGATGGAAAAAGACGAGACTAGGTATGAAGATGTTAGTGTGATGCTCCGCTCAAACGGGGAGCTCATCAGCTCTGTTAACCTGTCGTGTTCGGCCATTTTGCCTGGTAAAAAGATCTGAGAATTAATTTTTCTAATTGATACTTTTCACCATTGAAGCTCGGTTCAAAAGCAGTACCTCTTGGGTGTGTTTTTTAATACCATCCCTTGAAAAATAAAATAAAAAAGAGTGACGTGTTGGCATTAAACCTAAAGTAGTTTGCCTTATACTCAAAAGGATTTTTACCCGTTTTTTTCAAGGATGTGTGGAATTCTTATTTGTTCCTTTTTATTATAATATATTTACTATTGTAAGACCTATACAATTTATCATATTTTCCCGAAGTTCAGTGCATTTCTTTGGTGTTTTGTTTTCGTTTGTCCACTGTATTTTCGTCTTCAAAAAAATGGTTCATATCATTCCAACTACAAGGAAATAATGCCAAATAAATTTGTATTTGACAAAAAACACCAGAGAACAGGAGTTTGATAAATTTTAACACATCGTTTAAGTCTGTTAAATATTTTTTAAAAATATTTGGCATATCACAACAAAGTGTTTTGTTTTCTCTGTTAATGTTTGGTAAAACAACTCTACTATATCTTTATATTAATTATATAAATGTTTTAGTTTATTTTTATTAATTATTAAGCTTATTAATTTATTGTATTCTTCTTGTAATTGTATAATTCTTTTATGTATTACCAGTTCTTTATCATTGATTTTTGAAAATAATAAAACTTTACTTTTTAATAGTAAAGTACTAATACAGTTTTGTAAAAATAATCTTTTTATATTAAAAATGATATATTAAGAATGATACATTTAATTCAATACATATTTTATTGTGGTAATCATTAGCAAATTATATATTTTTAATGATAATTAAAAAAAACATTGTTGAAATACTAGTTTATTATTAATTTAATAATAGTAATCAAACACATATCCTCTGAATTATAAGTATAATTAAACATACTTTAAATACTGGAAGTATAGTTTAATTATATATTTGAAATTGAATATAAGAAAAAAAACAGAGGATGGATTGAAACCATTGAAAATTGGTTTCAAATAGTTTACTTGTTATTTTTTTTAGTTTCACAAAAAAACAAAACAATACGATGACACCTAAAATTAGAAACACAAGAAAGAGAACACCCTTTAGATCCCGAAAAGTACTAAGAGAAATAGAACAACAAGATAACCACACAAAAGTAAAATCAAGCACTTCCTGTAAAACGCAGCCGTTGATGAAAAACTCGAAAACTTAGAACGAATGGTAATGAACGACCTGAAACAGGTTTTACACAATGGAATTGGATTGACACCACTTATGGTCAAGTTGGCTCTCTTAGTTGATGGCACGAGTAAAGCAATAAACATAGTTATTGCGATCATTCAACACCATTTTCCTCCAAAAGCACTTCCAATGTTAATGGAAGTTTCTGTTCTGCCGCCGGAGTGGTATATTTCGGTATCAATGGGCATCGTTGTGTCATTGGTGTGGTTCTATTATACAATTGCTCTTCACATTCCTCTTGCTTCGTTATTCATCACACACAAAAACAAGTATTACTTCACGCTCTCATTCCTTTCCGCACTTCTTTTTTCCGTCCTTCTCTTTGTGTGTCCTCTTTATAAACTGTTCCCTCCTAATTACATGCTTAATGGTATTCCCCTCACTATGTTTATTGTGCACTATTTATCACTCTTCGCTTATGGAGGACACTGTTTCGCCTTCTTAGCTATTGTATGGAAAACTCCACAACTTCAGAAGCTCGATAACCTTCAATTCAGATGCAAATACCTTCTCCTTTTAATGACATTTCTCCTTGCAATGACTGCTTTTGTCTTGTACTATCAAGGTTTGTTGATGTCAGAGTTGTGTACAGTACTAACACATAGGTTCCTTATCTTGTGGTATAGTAGATTGTATTAGTTATGTTTGTTTGTGTGCAGTGATTCTAATGCACAATTCAGACTATTCAAAGATGATTAAAGCAAAAGATGAAATTGATGCAATCGATGGATTTTCAAATCATATGCGACAAATTGTCACTTCCAACTCCACATAACAATAGGGGGTGGGACTTTTTATTATAACTGGTGTATTTTCGTTGTTTGATATGTTACACTATACCATTGTATAATTTCGTTGAAACACAATGAAACAAATAAAGGTGGCAAATTAGTCCCTTGAAATATCGTTGAGTTGCTTTTGCATTCTTTGTGTTCTGTTGTTGATAAGAGTCTCGATCTTCTCTTGTGAATATCCCAAATCCAAGTTTACAAGGCTCTGTACCGACTTTAAAATATCGTCGTCGATTTTGACCAAATTGTTCGAGACAATGTCGAATGTCGGTCGCTTTGTGTGGTCTTGTTTCCAGCAATTCTCGATGAGTTGTGTATACAATCGTGGCATTGTCCCGTCTATTTTCAGGCGTTTCCCCTCTGAGACAAATGTTTTGATCTCAAACAGTGACTTGAAGTCCTTATATGGTTCTTCCTGATAAAAGACTTCCCACGCTGTAATCGCAAACGAGTAGACATCCCCCGCATATGAGTAAATATCTTTGTACGTCTATTACTTAGTCAATACACAACTAAATGGAAATAGAACAAACCTCTGGTGCTGCATAGATAGGAGTTCCAAGACCTTTGTCTTCTCCTTTAGCTATTTTCTTTGTGAACCTGGATGTCCCAAAGTCCGTGATTTTCAAGGTGCAAGCTGAGTTGTAGTCCAGTGAATTCACAAGCAAATTGTCGGGCTTCAAATCCAAATGGACAATTTTGTTATCGTGCAAAAATTGCATTCCACGTGAAGTATCATACAACATTCGCACTTTCAATTTGTATGGTAATTTGACGTAGTCCTCTTTATTCGACCTGAGGTATTCCCCCAACGACCCCAACACAAAGAATTGAATCACCATTGACACTTGTGGCAAATAGGTCACCGACCCCATATAACTCGCAATAAACGGATTCCTCAATTTCGCCATCATCTCACACTCAGCAACCACACTATCTTTCAGTTCTTGGACTTCCGCCTCGTCCAAATTCTCCCACCTGAACTGCTTAATAGCAACGGGGACACTCCTGTAATTCCCAATGAAGACTTTACCCATCGCACCTTCGGCAATAGGCTTTTCCGAGATGTTTAACTCGTCCAAATCAATATGGGTTGAACTTGCTGCATCCGTAGTGATTCTGAAGTTGTTGTATTGTCGACGCACAACATTTTTGCAAAGGTGCTCGATACTTTTATTATCTTCTGGTGTCCAATTCTCAAAGTCCTTGTCTTTGAGCAATGAAGCAATCTCTGTCAATGTTTGTCTATTCTTCGAAAACCACAACGTGAATGGGATTTTCATATCGCGTATTTTAGTAGTTGCATGAAGGGTCATATACGATATCATCGAGTAATTCGCGTTCGGACGCAATATCGCAACTTGTGGCTCAAAGTGAAATACGTACTTCGGGCAGTTTGGGGTATGAATAATGATCATCATGTATTTGTTTTTACTCTTATTTTTGACTTCAATTGTCTCAAAGCGAGTGTCTTCAATAGCCGTAGCTTCAGTTTCCTTGCCATAGTCCAAATCAATTGGTTCAATGATGTATCTTCCTTCCTTTGATGGGGCAACATTTTTAGCTCCTGAGATGTAGTAGTGATATGTCGGTTGTTGAAGTTTGAAAATTGAAATGTCAACTTTTTTGAATTGCATAGCAAAGATGAAAACAATGATGAACACAACTACTAATATGATAAAGAAGGCAACACATCCAACTACAATACCAACAGTTTCCCCCGTCGACAACCCCTTTTCAATGCAATTCGTTTTCGAATCCGGATTCTGTTTAAATCCAGGGTTACACATACACGACGCATTACAGTTGGTGCCATTATCACACTATATGTCACTTCCACATTCACACAATACTATTATATATGATACAATTTGCCTCAATTAAACAAACTTCTTCTCTCCTCACAAATTCATTTTCCGTGTTATACAAATCATCTATTTGGCCATTTCCACACAACGTGTGAATACAGAGGCCCGTTCCATCAGGGGAAAACTCCTCTCCTATTTCGCATTGGCAGTTCCTCATACATCCCTCGTTCCCATAGATGCATTCAACGCCAGGGCCTAATATCCCATTTGCACACGCATCACTCACACATAAATGGTCGACCAAATTCCCACTGGAACAATGACAATATTGGTCACAGTCATTTGTTCCAAAGTAACACAACCCATCAGTGTTGGACACTTGCCACCCGTAGTAATAACAGAGTTGATGGCAATCATCTCCTCCATACTTCTCCTCACAGATGCACCCACCCTCACTCGGCGCACATCTCCCATTGCCATCATTTTCATGACAATCATTCGGACACAACCCCTTCACCTTAATACTCACTTGTGCCCGAGAGTCTTCTGACATCACCGCAAAGTGCCTTGTTGTTGTTTTATCACCTTTGATTCTCACAGAGACGCCATTCTTTTCAGACGAAGACGTTGAACCTACTGGAAGTCCATTCCACGTCTGTAGACACTCCCCGTTATTCGCACTACTGTCCAATTCTCCGGTGTATTCCGCCAACAACGAAAACCTGTTTTTCTCAGTAGTGTCCAACAAGATTGAGTAGGGTCCGGTGAACTGTACAGTGAAAGTCAACACTTTCATCATAACAGTTGGCATGCATGTCGTGAAAAGGACTTGTCCTTGTGATTCGAAAGGAAGTGGATAGACGTAAGCTTTTGAAATGTCCTTAGACACCTCATCTGCAATGCTTTGATTCACATGGAACAAGTTTTTCAACAGTAAAGTGTCTGTCTCTGTGATAGTTAAAGTAATTTGTGTACTTTCAACCTCCTTCACAGAAACAAAAAAAGTGAATTGAAATTCCTCATCTCCGGTCGACTGAGAGTCTTTGAAAGGTGAGACGACAGGAAATTGGAGATTGAAAGAGTCGTCCTCCTCAAAAAGTGTAGTGTGAGCAAAGCAGAGTGGATCTGCCTCTGTTATTGGTGTGTTAGTGATGTCCACCGACAGCTCAGATTTGCCAATTTTATCAATTTTGACGTTAACAAACTTCTTTGTCAAAAGAGAGGACTTCAGTGAACCCCACTTCGATATAGTGTACTTTTGCCTTGAGTAACAAAATCCGTAGTCGACTGGGGAGGTTTGGTCTAAAGTGAAAGAGATTGGCGTATTCAAAACGTAACTGTCGACATTGGTCGGTGCCCAATTTGTTTTCTCGACAATATTTGTCGATGAAACGCACTCATCACCACTTGGAAGGTATGCCTCGGCAGTATTTCCATTGGGATCTGTCCATTTGCAATGGAGGCATGACCCATCGTTTTCATAATTTGGAGAACACACGGAATCGCACGTGTAATTTGCTGTGCATACATTCGTTGAGCACCCCGGTGCACACACCAACACGGTGGTGGAATAAACTAATGAGAAAAGAAACGGAAACAGCATAGCGCTTTATTCAATCGAGTTCGTTTTTTGATTCTTACTAAATAATTGGAAAACTATAAAGTATAGTTAACACAACTATACTTTATAAGGTGTGGATTTTTTGTTTTTCAAAAAGTATTTAAAGAAAAACTCTGACAACAAGTCGCTTTTTGCCTTTTTACTGTAAAAATATATTAAATAAAAAGACAATCCAATGAAATAAAGTAAAAGTTTGGTTTCACTTCATTTTTATATTAAAAACAAACCACTCACTTTCCCGTTTTTTACAATGAATACTACCCTAAACAAATTATGTTGGAAACAATAAGTACACAAAAAACACTTTTTTTATAACAAAACCATATTTTAATATTTTATTTCATAATAATAATCTATAATTTTTAAAATAGAATTGATAATTATTATTTATAAACACGTTACTGTTTTCATTATTTTATTACTTTTTTACCAAATAAAAACATGGGATTCTTTTCGTTTTTTTTGTATTTTATAATTTTTTGATTAATATTGGAAAAGACAAATTCCATGAACATAATATAATATTTTTTTGAAATTGTTTAAAGTTATAGTATATATATACTATATATTAAATAACATGATTACAATAGTTTATGAGCTAATTATTTTAATTTATACTCAAGTAATTGTTGAACAATACAAACAAAGATGTTGATCAACTTTTGGTTTGAAAATGTACGTCGATACACCATTAAAGGTATTGATTATAATCAAGAAGTGAATGCTGATTATCTCATTTATAAATTGTTTAGAAAAACAATCAAATAATACTTTTTTATAATTCTTTTAAAATATATAAAAATTCGGTGTAAATTCACTGAATAGTCAGGAAAATAATCAAAAGATAAATCAAAATTGAACTATAAACCAATTACTTACAAACACCCGTATTTTTTCATTTTGATAGAGTCACAATCAATTGATTTGAATTGGAAAATGAATGATTTTAAGATTTTTTAACATTTCATAATGACATATTTTGTATCTCTTACGTAAAAACCCCGACACTATAGTTTCAATTTGAGTAAATTTAAATATTATTGAAGCAACTATAAAAAAAGAAACTATACTAAAATAATAGAAGTACCAGTCTTTTCTAATAGTAGTAACACGAGTAGAAGACAAAGAAGAAGAAATAAAAAATGAATAAAAAAGGAACTGGGAAAGCAACAAAAATGGCAGAGAACAAAGACACCACCATCAAGTTGCTTTTAATAGGAGAATCGGGTGTTGGGAAGTCGTCTTTACTTCTTAGATTCTCGGAAGACACATTTAATCCGATGTATATCACAACTGTTGGTATAGATTTTCGAGTTTGTTGTTTTATGTCTTAATACCGCTGACGCACAGGTGAAAAACATTGAATTGGATGGTCATAAGTTGAAGCTTCAAATCGTTTGTTTCTATATAGAACACTGTACCATTCTGACTTGAAGTGGGATACCGGTTTGTTTTCCTTTTACGTTTCTAGTCATTAGTACCACATAGTATCTGGTTAATTGATTGTTTGAAATGTACTAATCAAACAGCTGGACAGGAACGGTTCAGAACTATTGTCTCGAGCTATTATCGAGGTGTCATGGGTATCGTATTAGTCTACGACATCACTCTCCGCGAGAC